AATCTTAATTGCAAAATCTCTTATTTTATCAAAAGTTTGGTATGCAGCCTATTTGCTTCCTCTGAATAGGAAACAATTAGCAGAAATAAACCATATCATATCCCTTTAGATTAAAGGAACTTTTCGCATACTTTCTAAATACTCCACCTTCCAGCAACCAACAGAATTAGCAGGCTTCCAAGCACTTGTGATTAAAGACATATTAGATGCTCACCTTATCTCAGTTTGGATGAAGCTTCTTACATCTAACTCACTTTGGGCAACATATGAAAGGGACAAAATAAGCTCGATACTTAGATGTAAAAAAAATACTTCTCCTTTATAAGCACTCAGTACAGATAACCTATGAACTAAAGCTTGGCCTTCAGAATGGAAACCCTACCTCATAGCCTGGTCAAGAATTAATAGAAAGGTCTTCTCAACTTCTAACTGGCCCTGGAACTACAATAAAATCTCTGCTAATGAAATTAAGAGAGATGAGCTCTTTGTTAAAAAAGTCTTAGAACTGTTGAAGAATACAGTTCTCCCTTCGATCTTACTCCAATCTCCTTCTCAGATTATACAACCTACTTGACTATTACTAAAACTGATCTGCAATAAGAAAAAAGATATATTCTGGCAACTTTTTCACAGAGCTCTTCCTTTAGGCTATAGACTCAAGTATATCGACCTGTTAGAAACAGGAAATTATACTTGGTGCTCTGATGAACCTCAAACCTTAGAGCACTTTGTCATCAAGTATCCTAGAAGTACAATTATTTAAAAAGAAGCCTACAAGTTTCTTAATATTAATGAAGAAAAAACATTACCTTCTACTCTAGAAGAAGTATTTCAGACTACAAATATTCAGAATACTCAAGCTATCACTACAACTACCTGACTACATATTAATATAGTTTATAAAATTTGGTGTCAGTATACTTCTCTAAAATAGGGTAATTTTGATATACCATTGACCTCCCTTAAACTCTTAACCAAAAGTCGTATCTCAAAAGAAATATGTATTTTAAAAAATATCTCTTTGTTTAATAAGTCTAGAACTTCTAAATCCTTATATAAATATTTAAAACATATATAATATATTTATAATTTCTTAATAAAAGAGTACCAACTACATCTCTAACTGCATTAGCAGTAGAGATATAAAAAAAAAAATATAAGGTCCTCTACTTCACTTTAGACAATTAGGTATAATTAGTGATAGGCAAATTATAGTTTTCCAAAATATCCTGTGTAGGATATAGGTTATGCATATGATTCGTGCAAGATAGGATTATATCATAGGTTTCTTAAAATTATATTAATGCAGACTGGCTAGCCTGAATTAAGGATCATATTAAAAATCTCATGTGGGATCCAAAAAATCATACGCATTTTATACACAGATCCTACATATATCTATCACTAGATATAACGGTAAATACTTGATTGTATATAATTTAATAGACTATGGTTTTAAATTTCTTCAGGTTTCTTATATATTAAAATTTAAATAAGATTAATATTAACTACAAATTTTTTAAATTTTAGTTAGTAAAATTATTTTAGTAGATTCTTAAAATATTTAAATATTTAAAATTGGCAAAATCTAAAAAATTATGTAGCAAAATCTTAAATATATGAAAATATATGATTTAATAAAATTTAAAAATAAGTAATTAAGAAATTATCTAGTAATATTAATATATTTAAAATAAGATTTTCTTTAAAGAGTCTTATATATTAATAATTCTTAAGTATTTTACTATCCAAATAGATACAGATATCTGAATTATCTAAATTAAAATGGATAATAGATAAGTAAATAGACTATTCAGATAAATTAAACAGATATCTGAATGATTATAATTTAAACAGATATAGATAACGGATAAGCAACTGCTTAACAGATACAGATAATAGATAAAGATATGAGATATTCAGATAAGCTAAACAGATATTCAAATTATTCAGATCCAAGCACTACTTATAGATCCTATTAAGATTTATTTATATAATATTTTATCTCTTCAAATTTTATATCATACTTCTAATATCTAGTTGATATTAGTGCAATATAATTTATAGAGTTACAACTTTAGAAATAAACAGAGTTTACTATAAATTGAATACAGAAAGTCTAAGTAATTATTTAATTTGTTAACAGTAGAATTTAAACTTTAGATCTCTTGTATAGTAGTTTAGTAATCTAACTACTATACTAAGATCATTAGATCTAATTTTGAAATATATTAATTTAAGTTTTATATAATTAATTTAGATTTTATAATATATTCATTATTTTTTTTTTTAATATTTAGCAGTCAGACTACAACTTTTTATTTAAAAATTAAAATTTAGATACTTCCTACTAAATTCTAATATATATTAAGTATAATTTATCAAAAATATGATTCTTCTAGTTACTTTAATAGCATCTATGAGTGATCTGCTATATCAAAGTTTTATCTAACTTTAATTTTTTACTTATTTTAAAGTTTTTAAATTAGAGATCAAAGACTAGTACCTATAGCTTGTTCTAACTTAAAATAGATAATGATTAAGTTATATATATAGCTTGTTATATACTTTTTATATAATTACAAATAGTAGAGATTATTAATATATAATTCTGTTTACAATTCTAATAAAATTCTTTCTGTAATATAAACTACCTTTAACAAAAAAAAATATTTAATTAAAATCAGAATATAATAAATAAAAATTTTTTATAAGAAGAAAAGCTATAGTTAATATTTTATTTAGTTTTTTTAATAAAACTAAATTAGTAAAAACTAATTTTTTTTTTTTTTGCAGATGTAAAGAAGCCTTCTATAGATTATAGAAATATAGTTTTGTTTAAGCAAACTACTCTTGTAGAAGAAAAATTATTTTTGCAGCAAATTGTACTTAAATACCTAAAGCAGCTGAGTGAGTTTAGAATTAAACAAAGAGAGCTGATTTGTAGTTAGTTTAATTTAGTTTATTTTTCTGTAATAACAATATATAATTGTTTTCTCTTAATAAATGAAAGACAAGATTATCTAAATTAAAAAAAAACTAATTTTTAAACTGTTAATAATATTACTATCTCTTAATTAGTTATTTTTACAATATCTTTTATAATATTACTTTTAATAATATTATTTTGTTTATTACAAATAATACTTCTTATATATTTGCAGTATTTAGATTTTTTTTCTTTAATTCTTCAATTAAAACATAGTATTTATTTTGCTTATATTTTTAATTTAGTTAATAAAACTTAAATTGAAAATAAAAATTTTAAATTTCTTAATTATGTAGTAGGTTTAATTAAAACAATATTTACTTATTTCTCTGCTAGAAAAAGAAGATAAATTAGTTATCTTGCTATTAATAGTATTTTAAATTCTTTATTATCTTCTTTATTTATTAAAACCAGATAGAACTTCTGGTTTAATTTTGTTTTTTGGTTAAATAAATATTTTAAATATTTTATTAAATTTTATCAAGAAGGAGAAAAAAATAGAAATAGTAATTCTGCTATTTTAAAACTTATTAAAACTTTTGAAAATAGTAATAATTTTTTTCAATTTATTATATATTTTATTACTTTTAATATGCAACAGTAAGTAATTTTAATTATTTATTAATTTTAATTTAATTATTAATAATTTTTTTTAATTAATTTATAGATTAGTTAATGATATTGAATTTTTTAAAATTTATAATAAACCTTTAGTACTATTTCTTGAAACAAGATTAGACTTAATTAGAGCAAAATTATTTTTAATATTGCAATTCTACCAAAATCAAATAAGATAATAAAACTTTGTGATGATTATAATATTGATTTTATAATTCAAAATTATTTTTTTAAAGAAATATTTAAACTTGCTTTAACTAAATTTGATAAACATATTAATAATAATTCTGCTATTTCAATTTTTAATACTACTAGATGATTGACCTCCAATTTATTTAATTACAGCCACATCACCAAAATATTTTATTATATAGAAATATTGAAGAATTTAAAAACCCTACAAATGAGTTAATTACAGAATGAGAAATTTACTATGGTTTAACTAAGGTATTCAAAAATAAATTTGATTATTGTCAAGAAAAACTTGAAATTTTACTAAATTTATCTAAATTAGCATTAATTTATATTTGGTTACCAATTTTGGGTGTTGATGTGGAGCATAGTTTTTCTGCATATAATAGAATTTTAGCAGATAACAGACAAAATTTTGTCTGAAAATTCTATTAGTATGTTGAATTTTTTAAATTTCAATAAATAAATAAAATTTATCAGTTGTTTTAAAAAAAATCACATAATTTATAATTATTTTGCATAATTTTAGGAGTGATTTGCATCGAGCGCATAATTTGGACCAATTGCATAGCATAATTCGGCCTTTCATTTTGCATAATGCTAAGGTCTCTAGTTATGTATTAGTATTGGCAGAAGTTCATTAAATTTCTATTCTCACACTATAAATACTTAAAACCTATCGACTTTTTACCTTCTCATTTAGGATTCTTATCTATTAGATCCGACTGGATGACATTTCATAAAACGACGAAGTAACGCGCAAATTGTATATACATATCAATATTTTTTAGTTGTCTTATTGATAAAAAATTTTTTTTCTTGTAACGAATAGATTTACTTAGATAATTAGCTGAGGCGTAGCGAAGGACCCTAAGTGTCCATCTCCGTAAACATTAAGAAAATCATATCAGAAATGTAATTTGGAAATTTTTTGTCTGTCCGCACGCGTGTCTAAATTTAGTATTTTAGTGTAACAAAACATGAATATTTACGCGTCTGTGTAATAGAATAATCATCATGTGCTAAGCTTCAGACTACGCAACGCATTAACCTAGTGTATTGTAAAATTACAGTTGATCCATATAAATGTCAATCATTTTTTTTAACCAATAAAATCAATGTTTACCAATGCTATCTCATACGTACAACAAATCTACTGACTTCTGAACGAAAAATTTTAATCGAACTAAAATAATAAGCTATGCCCAGATCTAACAATAATGATATTGAAACAGATGGCGATTTTTATCCTGGACGTTCGGGTAAAAGTCTTAAATATACTAATTTAGAAGATCATAAGAAATATGAAGATTAATTGTACAGCTTTTCGATAGCTCTCGTAAAGTATCTGGCAGAGTCTAAACCTGAAGACTGGTCCTACATAAATTTTTTTAACACTAAATAGTGTGATCCTTATCGATCTACCACCGTTTTTAGACAGTTGGAATGCTCTTGATGGTACGTGGACCAGAAGATTCCTGCGCGAAGTAATAGAGATGGACCGATATTTATACAATGACATGAAAAATAAGGTAATTTCGTTTCAATTAAATTGTGGAAAGGGAACTCCTGATCAGCTACCTCCTGATTCAGGGGTATCAGCTACCTCCTGGCCCAAGTGTTGGTGATGGAAACTTCTGATCAGCTACTTCCTGACTTCAGAAGCATCAGCTACCTCCTGGTCCTCACCTTCGCGATTCCACTTGTTCTTTTTCTGTTTGAATAATCGGGGTTCTGAATCAGTGAAGAATATAGCCTTCTAATTATTTATTTCATTACTACAAGGTGGATTCAGAACATGCTGACTTAACTATATATCATTTTTGGGAAGAGGTGATATCAAAAAGAAATCGAGTAAGTTTTAGCAAAATCACTGGTGGTGTTTTCAGTTAAGTTAGTATTATATATCTTTTAAAAGTGTCTTTAATTATTATAGCTTAAACTCAGAAAGGAACTTGATGCTGAGAGTATCGAACTATTAAGAATATCAAGCAAATTCCAGTCACAAAACATTCAAAAAGATTACGAAGATTTGATGAATCCTTCGTGTGACAAGCATTTTCTTGATAGCACCGCAAATAATGAAATAATAGCTAAAAAGGTCAGTTTGTAACACAAGATTAGTTCACAAATATTTGTTTTCCTACCTTTTCTATCTGAATATCTGCACAGATTAAAACCAACCAAGATTCTTCCAAGAAAAAATTACCACCAAACATGCTTCCTGATGGTACCAGATTTGATAAAGCGACTCCGCTGAATCTCATACCGTCAGACGAAAGTGAAGACGAAAGTGTAGATGATAATCCATCATTAATATTCGTTAATGATGACGAAGATGACGAAAATGATAATGTTCCTGATCCGAATGAAATTCCTGATTTATTCCCTAACCCGCAAATGTGGAGTCTTCCTTCAGGCAAATCTGTTGAAGATATCTTCGCAATGAATGTGTCCAAATATTCAAAAGCATATAAACAGAAGAAAAGGCTGACATCTATAGAAAAGGCAACCTTACGATACGGTGCTTCAAAAATAATAGATTTGTCTGCACACATGAGAGCTTGGTTTCTCCTACCTGATAGGCATTTTATGACCAAAAATCATGAGACATTGCTTACCATCCCGGAACTGCCCGATGATGTCAACACGTTTATTTTAAAAGTTGAAAAGGTAAGTACATTGGCTAGATTTTTTGTTTGTTGTTTATTCATTATTTCATACGTTTACTTTTATAGATGGTACGCCAAGGCAATTCAGATGCTGCCTTCAAGCTATGCATTGAAACTTATGCTAGTTCACCGATTAATAGTTGCATCAGCAAGTTCAGTAAGATTTACAGCGATTTGTGAGTATTACCTTTTATTTAACCTGTTCTAAGCTGTCCGCAAATTCCAATTCATTATGTATATATAGATATATGTAGTTTTTACAAAACTATAGATGGAAACGATATGCTGGAATGTGATTCAATAGGACACACGGAGGTTGACATTATTGTCAAGGCATTTTCGTATATTGTAGACGGGTTGAACTATAGTTGTTAGGCGAAACTATGTGATGCTAATCATCACATAGCCACAAATAGTAACATGTGAATTCACATGTTAATAGCACTAATATTATTAACATGTGGCTATGTGATGATTAGAATCACATAGTTTCGCCTAACAACTATAGGTTGAACAAAAATCTTGGGATACGTCAAAAATGGCAAGTTAACGTATATTTTCAGCTTTTGTGTTCCAATTATCTTATAATTTTCAACTTTGTGTATTAGGGGCAAATCATTCTGTCCCCTAAGCAAATCCACAAGTTATACTAAAGGTAGAAAATGTGATGTACGTTTCTTGTCCTCGTCGGGAATGGATCTAGGAGAGTAGGAGTTTTCCGTGCGTGCTACTACTGATAAGACAATTTCTGATCGATGTCGTTCTGGCCGTATCAACCAATCAATTTTAAATGGTCTACTGAGGCTCGACTGGAAAGATGAACAAATAAAACTTGTAAAAGTGCCTTTCATACAGTTTGCTGGGATTAATGGTCAGATGTTGATAGAAGTTTTGATGAACGGGTTCTATATAATTTCAGGACCAAAATTTCAGTTGCCCACCAAGCTTGCTCAGATCGAAAAGCTAAAGTCAACTGTAAAAGTCACCAAATATATCATGGTATAATCTATTATTTTTTTTTTCTTTTCTCATCATAAATGCTTACGTATCTAACTATTTACATAGGAAATGTATAGAGAAATTAGCAATTTAATAAATAATCTAGAGATCGGGTATCATACTTTTGATGATATCTTTAAGGTCGATGAGCCTGACACGAGTATATTTGCATATTACAAATCTAGCATTTGCGATCCATGGTGGACCCCAAAAAAAAACTAAGCAAAAATAAGGAGGATCATAGTGATAATAATAACAGTTAATAAACAATCAGCATAGCTCATATAGTGGGATATAATGCAATCGTAGTTTAGCTTTTTTTTATTATTCGATTTTGTCATATTAACTTGTATATGCAAAAATATTTCACTTGGCAAAAGATTTTTTCCAGAAAAATAAACATGCATTTACAATAATCTGCAACAGTAAAAGATTGGAGCCCAGCAGATTCTTTATTTCATAAAAAATTGTTGCCGGAACGATAATATACAGATAAAAAAAAATAACGCAGTTATATGCTGCTAACAAAATTAAAAATATATGGAGTGAGATTATACATGATCATCGGCATCACCAGGATTCAGTCATCATATTTTTTATAATTTTCCACAGCCTCACTCAAAATTTTTTCCCAGGTTTCATTATCTAATTTTTAGTAAAATAGAAAACTTAGTTCTAATGATTATGTTTCGAAGAAAAAAATGCTCTACGTTACCGCTTTTTAGAAGCATTATACAGTACAAAGTTTACTTACAAGATGGAACTTTTCTCGGCTTGTATTTGGAATTGGGACTAGACGACTTAGGTACAGTGGCGGCCAAAAGTTTTGCATCACTTGAAAGAAAAAAGTTAAGTTCAAACGTCTTCTTAGCAATAAGTTATTTTAAAATAATTTTTTTATTTTGTTTGATTTATCGAAACCAAGAATGATTATCACTAAAATTTATGGAGCAATTGGATCACATGATCTTGCACCACAGTGTGATTTGTTGAGATCGTCCTAATTAAAATTTAATACGTAGTGAATTAAACTTTCAAGCGAAGATATCTTAAGTAATGACCCAAATAATTTTATTTTAAGTATATACGATTATCCTCTAGGTTTTTGGGATTCAAAAATGTCCCTAAACATTAATTCTGGTAAATTCTCGTCAAGATACGCTCTTTTTTTTTAGCAAAAAGAAATTGAGACTTGATTTTTAATAGTAAATTACTATTAAAAATCAAATCGCAAATTTTTTTTTTTTTTACTAAAAAAGAGCGTATCTTGACGAGGATTTATAGGAATTTAATGTTTAGGGACATTTTTGAATCCCCAAAACCTAGAGAATAATCGTATATACTTAAATAAAATTATCTGGGTCATTACTTAAAATATCTTCGCTTGAAGTTTAATTCACTATTAAATTTAATTATCTGGTTTTAAACATCGCTATGTTTTAGTTTTAACATGTGATAAAACTAGTATAAAATTATAAAAATATATACAGTAATTAAAATTAAAAATAATAAAACTGATGTAAAACAAATAATTTGATATTTTTTAAAATTTATTTCATTACATTTTTTTCATATATGTCAGATAATAATAATTTAAATAAAAAAAAAATCCAATCACCTAGAGTAGAAATATGGAGTGCTTTATATTGTTGGTAAAAAAAATTGAAGATTTTTATTTTGTTAAATTTGAATATTGTCCAAAATCTTGGAAACGAATTTAATAGAATTGTATTTAGCTAACGAATTTTCTAATTATCCGCAAGACAAACAAGAACGTTGGCAAGATAAAAGTAATAATTATCATCAAGCAAAGGTTATGGAAATATGGACTTTTAAGCATTGAATATAGTTGAGATCTTAGGAACTGAGATCAATTGTTAAATTATATACAGTAAAATATAAAATTCTATATAGTAATAATGTAAGGTTTAATAAATTTTTAAACTTGCTTTCGTTCTTATTATTTTATTGCGTATAAATAAAATAATTTATCAGTTTTACATTATTGTTTTATTTCATGTATAAATAGTTTATCGGTTTATATATTTTGATAATTTTTACAGTTTAGACTAAACTTTGAAAATACAAACTGTATATAAACCTTTAAAGTAGCTAGTTTATATTTTAAAAAATGTAGAACTGAGTTATGACGGCATCATTAATATATCAAAATTTAATTATCGTTATTAATATAAAAAAAATAATCAGAGTGACGTTAACTCATCATTGGGTCGGTTTGAATTACTAGTTGAACCAGAGTTTAATCGGAGATTAGGACCAGACTATTTTCGGACCGGAATAATGGAACAAGTAATTCCCTCAATGTACTTGGTTAATGATAGAATTGTTATTGTTCAATCATTTCAATTAATTGAAGTGATTTCTTATAATGATTTCGTTGAAAATTCATTGTGTGAAATGCGGATTTTAAATTTCAGCCAATCAAAGTAAAAGTTCAAAGTGTGGGCGCAGTCACATGATTTTAACTTAATAATTTATATTATCTGTCGATCAGCATCAAATTTTTTTATCAGTTGTCACAGAACACAGAATAGCTGTACAATTTTATCAGCCAATCAGGTCACTCATTGAGGGAGGCGTAAAAAATTAACATGTCATGTACAGTACGTATGATAAGTTGATACGTACAAATTTCTTAAATCGGGTATATAATTATTCTACGTATCAGTTTTTTTTTTTATCAAAAATGTCCCAAAATTTATGAAAATGATACTGTAATTACTTAAGTCTATATAAAGTATATAGATTATAGATCACATTACGTACATACAAAACAATTATTTCTTAAAAGAGGCAAAAAAAAATTATATATATTGTTATACCTGAATACATTCTTGAATTCGTTGACTTAATTATATAGAGATTCTACCAAATCATTAATAATCGCATTTCTGGTATAAAACAGGTTTTAATATATAATCAAAGTCCAGAAGTCGATACAAAAAAGCGCGACTGTGTATATCATTATACAAGTGTAATATGCAACCTGATTGGCTAGTTTTAGCATCATACGTAGCGATATCGAAACTAAAATGTCTCGGTATTTTAAATCAATACTGTATATGCACTGCGTACGCAAAAGGCACATAAAATGAAAGGCCGAGTAACTTTAATATATTATGGGAAAAAAAAATTAAATTAACTATATATGGTTTGCGATTTTTTTTTGGTACGTACGTATATTCGATTGTAAATTTAATACGTACAATTTTATAATATTAATTCATAATTCTTTTAAAGCTTAAATATGAGCTTAAAAAAAAAATTATTATTATTATTAATAAGGCCATACGTACAAAAAATTTTTTTTGGTTTACATAACCCGGCCGGGTCAAAATTTGTAAAAAATTTCATGTGATTTATTATAAAGTCTCCGTCAGTTTTTTTTTTAAAAAAATTTCATATTACAGTATTATCGATATGTTTTTTATATTTTTCTCTAAAAAAAAAAAAAAAAAATGAAATTTATTATAATTTAAAATAAAAAGCCGGGCTGCCGTGCCGGGTCATTTTTAAAATTTTATGGAAAACCAAGAAATTAACTTTGTGTGGTCTAACTTTTTTTTTAATTATTTACCTGAATTTGACTTTTATCGATACTGTGCTGCAGTTCATTGTTAACATAAGCTTAAAAATAATTCATTGCGAATGATTCCTTCAAGGATCTATAAAAAGTTAATACGTAATAATAATAATAACGATAATAATAATAATAATACGTAGTAATTTTTTTAGATATTGATATCTAAATAAATCTATATATCAACTACTTTTTATATTTTTATCAAATTATAACTTTAGTTAAATTGTGAAGCAAACATTGGTTTTTTTCTGTTGGTACAAAATCGCGGTATGACTAAATGTTCTAATACGTACAGTATCTGTCAAAAGAAAGGGTAACAGTATAAAACGTTTTAAAGTTTGTTTAATTCAATAATTTAGGATAATTTTTAATACGTAGCAAGAATCTTAGAATTACCTAGAATTATCAGTTATGTAAAACGATGATCTTATTCAAAATATTACATAATTACATTTGTTACATACATAATACATATAAAAAGGGAGTATGATTATACTATTAAACCGAGTTAAACTACATTACTACAAGTGTATAACAGATAAATGATTATCATCTATATTTAAGATACACAAAAACGGAGTTTTGGATCAAAAAATTTGTTCTAACATCTTTTTGATTTCTTCCAAACGACCTAAAGAATAAAAAAATAAATTTTTTTTTAAAAAAAAAAAATTTTTATATATATTAAATAGTATCTAGGAACGAAAAAAAAATAAAAATAAAAATATGGATGATTTAATTCAATCCTATCTAACGATATTTTGCCTTGGGGTTGGTTCTATGGTACGGATTTATTCGTAAAAGATTACTATTACATACATAGATTTTTTAAAAAAAATATATATATATATATTAATTTTCAATATTTATATTCAAAATAGATATCTTTACGTAATCTTGGAATTTCTATTAAATATTATTTTTCACGTCATTATGGAAAGATTTCAGATATGTTTAGAATAATTTGCAATTATACCATCCTTTGGCAATTCGTTCTTCTATTTGGATATTACGCAGCTCCAAGTCAAATAACATTAAGAGGATGTCAAGCTTTAGGTTATATATATTTAATTGGTAGAACTATCTTTCGTATATCCTTTGCCGCTTATCTTTTATGGAGATTAAGAAAGATAGAAAAAAAACAAAAGGATTCTATAATCGGATCTGGATTATTAATAATTATGACAAGTTTCTCTGTAAGTTATTATTAATACAACTTTAAATATATATTTAAACGAGTATTATATAATTGTTAACTAAATTTTTAAAATAATTATTTTTTTAAACAAAATTTTAGATATTATTATTTATTTTTATTATTCCTCAAATTTTTCAAGAAACAGACTCAGGAACAATAACAATATATTATTGTGATTATGAAGAAAATGAACCAACAGAAATTTTAACATGGTGTTCAATCATCATGGATTTTACTGTTTATACTTATGTAACAATTCGATTAATTCAAATTCTTCGTCATAATTCTAATCAAGTTGAATCTACAACAACAAGTGATAATGAATTAAGTGAAAGTTATAGGGTTAAAATGATAAATTGGAGTTTGATACTTTCTAGTTTATCATTTCTTATGATTTGGTTTGAATTTTTAAATGATCAATCAAATGGTGTTACCGGTGGATCTATTTTATTATTTGTTCTTAAAACTTTATTATATACTGCTTTAAGTTTTATTATTACAATTGATGATGTTAGACCACCGATTAATGAGATTAATGAAGTAATGAGGACAACAGCAACAACAACAACAACAGCAACAACAATAACAAGGACAGCAAGGACAGAACCGGAAAATGACTCGGAAAATAAAGATGCTACAACAAATGTATGAAACTTGATAAATATTTTATATATAATATTGATTATGTGAAATATATGAATATTTGGGGGTTTTTTTTTTCTCACACAATGTATTAAATGGGTAAAAATAGAATATTTTGTCGTTTGTTTAAAAATTTAAATATTGAATGATATGTACTGTACTATATACATAATGATTGATAAATAGAATGTACTGTAAATAGTATTTATACTATACATTATTTATAATTAGGAATCTTTTGAAACTTTCTTAATTTTTTATTTATCAAATCTTATTTATGATAAATAATTTTAAAAAACTTAATACTTCTTGTATGTATATTATTGTTGTTAATATGGAACGTGCGTATGTATCAATGAATATTGTATCAGAGTTTATCTGATGAAAGAAAATCTTTCTTAGAAAAATCGGGTATCAATAAAAAATTATAAAGAATTCTTCCAACTTTCAACTACGCATCATATTTGAAAAGTCTCGATTATAGATTAATCTTTGATGGTGTTGTGGTTTGGTTAAATAATTCTGATAAAACTATTTCTGATAAAATTGTTCAAAGTTCAAATAATCAAAATTATTTACTTTTAAATGAAATATTTAAAAAAATTTTTTTTTATCATATTCAATCTTTCATATGTAAATTTCGTTCAAAATTTTATAAATTACAAATTATCTCTTAATTATATTACCTTATCAAACCTTCCTGGTGCTCAAAACCATTTTTCAACTTTGAATCGTTTTGTAATAAGAGACTCAACAAGCTCGAAAAATTAAAGAAATAGATGTTGAATTATCCAATTGTGACGATGAAAAATAACAATTTTTAACAAAATCATTAAATACTGTTCATATCTTTACTATAATTTCGATTAATATTAAAAATTTTTCTGAATGTTCAAAAAATCTTATTGATTTACAATTATCATCTAATGAATTTATTTCAAAAATCACATTTGAATCTATTGTTTATTCAAAATTTTCTAAACTTAAGAAATTATATTTTTTAATAATTTATATTTAGATCAAATATTAACATTAATTAAAAATACTCATTTATTACAAGATATTTATATAAAATTTGTTCAAATTCAAGGTTCAAATCATTCTATAAATTTTATTAATGTTATTGTCCAAATCTTATTAATCTTTATGCATTAATTTCTGATAAAGAAATTTCTCGACTTCCAAATCTTTTTACATCTTGTAAAAAAAAAACTTGAAATTTTTGAATGTTTTAATTAAAATTTTAAAAGTACCGGTAATATGAATTTTATTAATATAAGTGAAACTTTATTTGAACTGGGGAAAAGTTGTTCCTTCGAATTTAAGTAAATTTATTATGAGATCGACATTTTCTTCTCAATATTTAAATTCATTTCTTAAAAAATTATGAAGAAAAAAGATGTAATAAATTTTAACAATTAGAATTGAAAATTGAAATTAATTATTATTGAACAAAAAAGTGTTTTGATCATTAAAAATTGAAAAAAAAAGATTAAAAAGTATTATAATAATTCGAGCATGTTTACTCAGTATGTTTATTATTTTTAATTAACATTTTAATTTTTAATATATTTAAAAACTTTTTTTTTTTTACAGTGAGTGAGTTTGAAGATTTATGGTCTTGGGAAGATGAATGGGTTAGGATGATGATTTCAATTTAACTATTAATAGTAAATCTAATTTCTTCATTCAACAATAACATTCCCAAAATCGTTTTCATTTAAAATAATAATTCATTTCGATTTATGTTTGATGAGTTGCAATAAAACATATTTGGTAGTTCCCACATTCTTACATTCTACCGATATTCGTTGATTCTTTCTATTATATACGTACGTACATGGTTAATCGCTCCTTGAAGAATGATTCTTATTATATTTAATAATAATAATAAAGTCACAATCGTCATTAACTATATTTGACTTTTATTATCTATCTATAAATTTGAAATGACAATTTATGTAACAATATAATTTATTCTTCAAAAATTTAAGAACTTGCTATATTTTAATTTTGGGTCCTGGAACCCAGTATTCACTATCGTTAAAAATATTTTTCACGTAACGGTAATATTTATAAGCAGAAACATCCATTTAAATTTTTTTGTATCGGTATTAAATTCATAAGCTACCTACTAAATTTTTTAATACATTTCAATTAGGGATCTGCAAACCCGGCATGTGCCCAT